CAAAAGATCAAAGAATAATGAAAGTAAAAAGAGAAAAGAAGTATTAGGGAGAAGTAAAAAGAAAAGAAAAAGGATAAGAGAAAATGAAAGGACAGTGATTATGGGAGGAGAAAGGGGGAAAGAACTAATATGAATAGTGAACTGAAAGAAACCAGGAAATGGGACAAATAAGAGAAAGAATAAAATTAAGAAAAGGAAAAAGGGAACAATGGGGTAATCAATGATACGAGTAAATAGGAGATATGAATGAAAAAATAGAGCAACAGGAGTAAAAGAAAATAGACGAAAATGATTAAAAAAAAAGGCTCTGAAAAAGAAAAAATAATGAAAAAGAGCAAAGCAGAATTCGTCTCAGCAGAGTTTAGTGCTTGCCTGCTGGATTCTCCCTTTGGATACAGCTCTGACATAGTCTGAGACTGATACAGGGTGCAGCCAAGGGGCTGGGGGGCAAAAAAAGATTTGGAATGGTGTCCAGAATTCAAAGTGTATAGGAATATTGGAGAGACATATAAGATGTCCTCACCGCCCCCCCAGGGGGAAGGGACCAATAGAGCAGGGCCATTGAGAGCTGTTTTGCACAGCAACAGTTTTGCAGCTAACCTCTGGAATGATTATTTAACATATCTATAACCTTTAACTGGTTTCATAGATATGTTAAATAGCGGTGGCCAAGTTTTGAGCCAGGGAGAAGGGAGTAACCCAAACGTGGCAGCCATTGGAGAGAGGGCCACGTGGTTTCAGCAGAGCGAAAGAGTACCACTCGGCTTTGCCAGAATGGAGATCCCTGCAGCCAGATGAAGAAGAAAGCCACACGCGGTTTTGGTGGAGTGTGAACCCCTGCAGCTGTGGTAGAAGAGGCCCATGCGGCTTTGGGGTGCCCCCTTTGGCCGCGTGGCCTGGAAAGCAAGAGAGACTTTAACTAGAACTTGGTACAAAAGAACTCTTGCCAGTGGACCGTGAGAGAGTGCCACATAATTTTGGATTAACTAGAGATCCTGCCTGAACACAGCTGACGCGATTCCAGCAGCCTGCAACACGGACGTGTGCTCTTTTCCTGATTTACGGTACCCGGAGTTGGGACAGTGGGAAAAGGGGAGCGCTGTGTGGGTGTAGGTGTATACCCTAAAGGACTTTGATATTTTAGTGGAGGCATTAAGCCTAAATAGCATTAAATAAACATTTTGTTTCCTTTTCACAAATCTCTGGCACTGAGAGATGTCTTTCCAATTGGCGGCGGACAAAAGAGCCCAGTAGATACTAGTATTCTGTCCTTGGGAGAGACCCTTGTTCTGTAGCAGTTTTTGGTGTCCCTAGGTGGGCCAAATATTGCCCCCCACCCCGGACCTGTTGTTCAGTAACAAGACTGGTGTAAGCCAATGTCAGGTGCTGACCATGTCTAGCTTTCAGCAGCTTCTTTGAAGCTACAGGTGACTCTCAGTTTGTGGTTGATTCCTCTGGGCTTGGCTGTGCCTGGGTTGGGCCAAGCTGCTCTGCCCAGCTGGTTTTTATCAGCACTGGGCCCAGGGGTATGTCAGCAAATGCCCCAAGTTATCACAGGATTCACCTCTGCCTGGCTCTGCCTGCCAGCCTATTGTCAGCTTTAGATTAGTCACAGACCTGACTGTTTCTGAGAGTCTCAGAATGGGGTGGAGCGGACTTCTGAAACTCCTGCGGCAGGTGCCTTTCAGACTTCGGGGAAGATGGAGGGTTTGTTTCCCTGCCCCCAGCCACACTCATAGTCCAAGAGTATCTGGGATGTCTTTCCTGTATTCGGCAGGGAGGAGCCCCTAGTAGACTAATGGGTCGAGTCTCCAGAGCCCAGATTTGGGGTCTTCTGGAAACGGGAGGGTGTTTCTATGGCTCTCCTGTGAGGAGGAAGTGCCAGTCCGTTTCCCAGGGCAGTGGACGGTGTGGCTGCACCCTACAGCCTGCCCGTCTCCCACTCTCCGAGTCTGCATATGTTGCTGTCTCCTCAGCAGGCGTTAAAATGCAAGAGGGGAAAAAACAAAGAAACAGACAAAACACGGAACTAAACAAAAAAGAAAAAGGAAACAAAAAAGATGCAGGGTGGGGCAGCAGGATTCCTGAGGTTGGAAGGAGCGGTAAGGTAATTGCTTTTCCTCTTGGAGGGGCTTGCTCTTCTCAGGAAAGATGGCTGCTGCAGAATCTATAGAACCCAGCACATAAAACCCCAAGGCTGCTCCCCCACGCTCTCCCTAGTGTCTCCCACTCCAGACTCTCCTCATATGACTCCAGTTTGTGCTGCCGTCCCTTTGCCTGTACCCAAGGCAAGTGACTGTGAACACAAAACCTGTGCTCTGGTCCCTTTAAGAATTAAGAAAGATGCTCTGGCTGGTATAGCTCAGTGGATTGAGCACAGGCCTGTGAAGCAGGGGGTTGCTGGTTCGATTCCCAGTCGGGGCGCATGCCTGGGTTGCAGGCCAGGTCCCCAGTGGGGGACACATGAGAGGCAACCACACAATGATGTTTCTCTCCCACGCTTTCTTCTTCCCTTCCCCTCTCTCTAAAAATAAATAAATAAAATGTTAAAAAAAAGAATTAAGAAAGAAAAAGAAAAGTGCCTTTGTCTCCAGTGGATCCCGTCTCTCCCCAGCAGTGACAAACCCCGTGGCCTGTCACCACTGGGTGCTCCCTGGTCTGCTGATCCTGGCACTGGCGCTCTGTGCTTGGGAGCCCACTTTGTGTCCCCTGCTTCTCTCCTTTCAAGGGGAACCTCCCACAGCTGCGCTGCCTAGGCCTGCCTCCCTCATAAACAGTGCAGCCCCTTTAACGACCTCACCCTTCTTACAGGTCATGGTGTTCTTGCCTACCCGCCCCCCTTCTTGTTTAAAAGTCTCTTTTTGGGGTAGTCTTTGGTGTATTTTGGGTGTCTAGTCCTCTCTTTAGTGTCATTTCCACTTTGGTTCTGGGAGGAGGTATGCAATATGTCCTACTTGGCCACCATCTTGCAACCCCTACTCCATTCAAAGAAGGCTCTGTTCTTACATTCCAGTTCTGCATCCCCTGAGCTTAAGGGAAATTCTTGGGGCTTTCTGGAAGCATAATTGGGGGGGAAATGAAGAGAGGCAGGCAGACTCAGAGAGACAGGCAGTATTAGTCAGGAGACTTCTGGGCAGCCCCTGCATTAGACTACACAACCCTTGGCTGTAGCATATGTGAAGTCACCACAACTCATTCTGCCAGGAGACCAAAGGAGGTTGTCCTCTACCCTCTGATAAATGGTAAATGCATCGACCCTCCTGGTGCATTTGTGTTTGTATGGAGTCTTAGAACTGAGGATCAAAAAAGATTTAAAAAGGCATCTAGTTCCACCTTCAACTTGATGCTTGGATTTCTCTTCAACATTTTCATCAGGTCACTAGATGGCTTCTGCTGGCACATATCTAGTACCAGGGGCTCTACTACTGATCAAAGCAGCGCATTCCGTGGATGAGCAAGCCAAACTGTCCGAGTTCTTCCTGAAGTGTGTCTCCTTTTGTGTCATGTCTACCATTCTGCCTCGGTGCCCCCCATCTGGAGAATCACAGAATCAATCTACTCCTTCTCCTCCAGGAAAGGCCTTTACATAGTTACAGCCAGTGGCCCATCCTGGAGGGAAGTCTCTCTGGTCCCCTTTTTTCTCATCAGACGGGATTTAAAGTTCCCCTCCCCCTCCCACTCACCTCACTCTTTGTTGGACAAGCTCTTGTTTTTCCACATGCTTTTTCAAAATGTGTGTCTAGAAGTAGACCCTGAACTCCTGGAGTAGCTGGACTGGCACAGAAGAGATGGGACCACTACCCCTTACTCTTTCCAAGGCCCATACTTTGATTCCAGCAGCCTAGGCTCTCATTCACTATTTTTAGGAGCCCTACCACATCTCTAATTCATATTTTGCATCCTGTGGAGTCAAACCTTCATTTTCATGCCCACTCCTGTCAAGAGTAGCATTGGTTTAAATGTACACTGTATTCAAATATGTCCCACTACTTTATATTTATATCTGGACAATCAAATGGTTGTATTTCGGTACTAAACACAAAAGAATCTCGAGTTCTCTTCCTGAGGTTCAGGGGAACACAGGCACTGCCAGAGCTACAGAGAAGGGGCATAGTAGGGCTTGAGAATGGATCTGAATAGCCAGCACAGACTGTGAAGCCTTTGTTTTTCAATCGTCTGTGGGGCCTCGCGTCAAATTTACACACAGAGAGGTGGAATCTTAGAGGAAAATAACTATGGCGAAGAGAGCAGAAAATTGGAGCCTAGCAAACTGATTCAAATCTCAGTCCTATCACTTCCCACTTGGAACCTTGGGCAAGTTGCCTCCACTTCTGGAGCATCTGTAATTGGGGAAACAGTGTTCCAGTGTTTTGCCTTAAATAGCTATTCTCTGGCGAAGGCGCTTTTCTGACTTGAAGTGCTGAAGTGGATCTTGATTATTAAAGTGTTATACTACGTCCCTAACACTTGAGTGCCTTCATAGGACCCTTCTCTAGTCTCACACTCCTGTTTCTCCTACCCAGGCACGAAAAGCTGTCCCAGCTGTATTTTAGCCCAAATCCAGGACACAGCATAGGTGCCTGGGCCCCCTGCCCGTTCCTAAGCAATGGGAGGACCAGAGTTCTAATTCCATCTTTGCTTTTTAACTGAATTACCCAGGGACCTCCCCAGACATCCGTTTCCTCATCCATATAATAGGGATAAACACAGATAAATGTATGTGCATGTGTGGAGGGAGGGAAAGAGAGGGGAGCACGTGCGCGAGCTCTGTACACCACAAGGAACAATAGGTATTAGCTATGTTGAGCGGAGATGGTGAAAACCGAAATAGAGATCCAGAAACAGGTCCCGAAATGCAATCCAGCGGTCGCCTACGCCGACGCACATAGAATCCGGCGAGGTATCACACTGCAGCCCGCGTACGAGGAAAATGTTGGTCCGCGCGACTGGATTGGGCAGAGGCCCGGGAGAGGCGGGGCTTCCGGCGGCCTCCACAGCAGTTGCCAGGGGAGACGGCTGTCGGGAGGCGGAAAGGAGCGGGCAGATAGTCTGCCCTGCAGGCACTGGAGATATGGCGGCCGTTGTGTCTGAATCTGGGTGTCGAAGCAGGTTCTCGTGTCCCGAGGTGCCATCTGCCACCTTCTTCACCGCGCTGCTCTCGTTACTTGTGTCCGGGCCCCGCCTCTTCCTGCTACAGCCGCCCCTGCCACCCTCCGGTCTCTCGTTAGGGTCCGATTGCCTGCGGAACTGGCAAGGTGAGCAGGGCAAGGCGGGGCCCCGGTGTCAGCCCTTTTCCTCCGACCTCGCCAGGTTCTGGGCTTCGGCCTCCCAGCACCGCAGCATCAGGTCTTACCTCCTGCTACTTCGTACGCGCCATTACTCTGTCCCCCGCCCCGCCCCAAGGACCAACGCCGTATTCCACCTCTTTGTCTTTCCGTAGCCCCATCTTCGTCATCACTGTAACCTTTCCTTATCCTAACTTGTTACCTTCCCTGTCGCCACCGGATTGATGAAGGCCCCTCCACACACTGGCTAGCAAGTAGGTTTCTTTCACCCATGCTTGCTCTCCGAGAAGGATTTTTCCTTCTCCCCCTCCCCTGTTATGTAGACAGTTACGTTTACTTCAGGGCTTAACGTCCACTGAAATTTTTTTCTCTCGCCTTCATCAAAACATTAGATGTTTATCTGTGGCTATCTCTGTAAGCGGACTGGAAGGTTTAGAATTTCTTCTGCTTCTTCGTTTGTACTCAGCCCTGACCTAGATTACCAGCTCATGGGAAAAGGGGCACCTTAAATGTTTGGGGGAGGTGTTTGTTTTCTTTAGGGGAGAGAAATTCGTAGACCAATTAAGTATAAAAATCTCCTAAAATTCCATTTTTTTTTCTGGGGAGGAAAATGGGGAATTTATATGACCTTTGCTGTTAAACATGCACACACACATTAAACTCATTTAATCCTTGAGATCCCATGAGATAGGCTTTATTATTGCCCATTATTTAGATGGGACTGAGGCTTAATGCAGAGAATCACAGAGCTATAAAGTCATGCAGTTGAGACAGGACCCAGATTTTTCTTTTTATTGTGTGATGTTTTGGAACTGGAGATTTGGGGTTTATAATCCTCAGATCATGTAGAGTTGCTTCCAGAATCTTCACAGTTGTACTTGGAATTTTAATTTTGGAAGTATTCAACAAATAATGAATTACTCTTCAGATAAGGAAGACTGTTTAACAGAAATGGCCTGACCGAGGATCATAGCCTATCTCCCTGCCCAAATCTAAAACTCCTCCACCTACCACAGGAGGCAGAGCATGTCATAGACAGATGCAAAATGTCAGACTAAACCGAGCTCTGCCATTTTCTTTAATTTAAAGCTTCTCTGAGTGTGGGGGTTGTGGGCATGTGAACATTAGACACATAAAAGAGCTTTAAAGGCCTCAAGTATAACCCCATTATTTCACAGTAAGGAAACTGAAGCTAAAAGGGCCCTTTGACTTGACTAAGCTCAGCCAGCCAGTACCTGAGAGATCCAAGACTCCACTCCAAGCCTTTGGGCTCCCATGTCCTCCAACATTACTGCCATTTCACCAGCCCCCCTCCTTCAGTTTACTGTTTTGGCCTCCAAGGACATAAAAAGTGCATAAGAGATGTCTGCTTTTAGAAAAATGAAAGTGAAATTCTTCACTGTTTTACTGCACATAAAGTATTCTACCTAGAGAACTGGGTGAGCACTTTCAAGGAAGACTTCTGAGTTTTGTATCTATATTATTAGCAATAATTTATATATTTTTATAACTAGATTATAGTGATAATCTTTATAGGTGCAAAATAATTTATGGTCCCTTTTTTCTTCCTCTGAACAGCCACTATGGAAGGAGAGGTCAGGATTACAGCCGAGGAGACTGGCACACAGAGTGTTAAGGGACACCCACTCAATCCACCCTGAAGCTGTTACAATTAATTAACCCTCAAACTGCCTGGTGAGATAGGTCAGTATTAAAACCTAAAAAAGGGGCATAAAGCACAAATTACAAATTCAAAGACCATCCCATGCTAAAAAGTGTTCTTTTTTCCCACATGGAAATCAGTCACTGATAAGACTTACTCCGGGTGTGGGAAAGAGCAGGGATTTAGACATTCATGCCTTTACTTTGAATCTTGGGTTCTTCATTGTTGCTTCCCACTGCTTATGTTGGCTTCTGGCTGATTTTCACTAGCTGTCAGTGCTATATTATGGGGCTACTCAGGGTTGTAACCTGTCCTTTCCACCTTGGAGCAACCCACTGTCAGGCCTCTAACCCCGGTCCTCTGTAGTTTACAGGCTGGTGACCTACATCTTTGTCTATGAGAATCCAGTGTCCCTGCTCTGCGGTGCTATCATCATCTGGCGCTTTGCTGGCAATTTTGAGAGAACCGTGGGCACCGTCCGCCACTGTTTCTTCACTGTGATCTTCGCCCTCATCTCCGCTATCATCTTCTTGTCGTTTGAGGCTGTGTCGTCACTGTCGAAGCTGGGGGAAGTGGAGGATGCCAGAGGTTTCACCCCAGTGGCTTTTGCCATGCTGGGAGTCAGCGCTGTCCGCTCCCGCATGAGGAGGGCCTTGGTGTTTGGCATGGTGGTGCCCTCAATGCTGGTGCCGTGGCTCCTGCTGTGTGCCTCCTGGCTCATTCCCCAGACTTCTTTCCTCAGTAACGTCTGTGGACTTGGAGTTGGGCTAGCATGTATCCTTTCTAGAAGGGAATGTAGAATGATGACATCCCAAAGGGTGAACCAAGTTACAGGGTCTGGGCAGGGGGTCACATAGAACCCATGGGCTCGGGTGTAGGTAATGTGGGTTCTAGCTTCAGGTTTGAAAACCATGTGGCCTTAGGTGGGTCGCTTCCCTTTTGTGGGTCAGAATTTTCTCATTTCGAAAATACTAACATAGCTGTCTTTTCACGCCAGCTTAACACTACCAGTTAGTAAAATATTCTGATTAGATTTTTTTCCCTTGTCAACTAAGGTATAAACGTACATTTGACTAATTATGTTAAGAGTTTTCATTGGAAGAATCTCACTGTGAGGTGGAGAAATTCCATGAAGAATACAGGAAACAGGTTTGTTTTAGGTTTTTTTTTCTTTTATGAAAAAAAAAAACCAACTTTCTTTAATGATAGGTTTTTACTATATGAGTGGTTAAAAACTTAGGATAAACCTTATATTTCTTATATAAATATTCTGGCAGTTAGTGGGAAAAAGTCCAAAATACAAAGGAGGTCACTTGTTTTAAATATCAGAATTGTAGTGTTGGGTTAGATAGGTGCAGCCCTAAAATCTCTTCTATTTGTGATTCAATTAGCTAATAGGGTAGGTAGTGTAAAAATAAATACACATAATATAGCTGTAATTTTTAAATTTAATTTGATTTTTTATTTTAAACCTTTTCCCTAATGAATATTTAACCCTAAATATTTCCCTATAAGCACTACTTTAATTACATCCCACAAATATTCGTATGTTATATTATCATCACTCAGTTAAAAGTATTTTCTAATTTTTCTTAGGATTTCTACTGTGACCCAGGGGTTATTTATCAGTGAGTTGTTTAACTTCTAAATACTCAGTGATTTTCCACATTTCTTTTTGTTACTGATTTATAACTTTATTTCCCAAAGTAAAGAACATCCTTTGTAATATTGCCGTCCTTTTAGATAAGTTCTGGTCCAGCATTTGGTACATCTTGGTGCATGTGCCATGTGTACGTGAAAAGAATGTGCGTTCTGCAGTTGGTGGGTATACGTCCGTTCAGTCAAGGTGTTAATATTGTTCAGGCCTTTTGTAACCCTAGAGTTGTTCTCTCAATTACTGAGAGGACTGTTAAAATCTCAAAGTGAAATTGTGGATTGGTCTAATTTTTCCTTTCAGTGCTTGTCAGTTTTTGCTTTAGGTATTTTGAAACTCTATTATTGGGTGCATACGCAGTTAGGATTGTTACGTCATCTTAATGCGTTTCCCCTTTATCATTATGAAATTGACCCTTTAATCTCTGTTACTCTTCTTTGTCCTAAAGTCTTTGTTACCTGATAATAATATAATTATTCTGGCTTTCTGCTTTCTTAAAATTGGAATTTACATGGTATATATTTTTCCATCCTTTTTAGCAAAATGTGTCTTTATATTCAAAACATGTTTCTTACAGCTAGCATGTAGTTGGTTCTCCAATCTCTGCCTTTTAAACGGCATGTTTAGCTCATTTACATTTAGTGTAATTATCGATACGGTTGGGGTTAAGCCTACCAGTTTGTTGTTTATTTTCTCTTTGTCCCTGATGTTCTTTTTTTCCCCTCTTCTGCCTTCAGTTACATTTTTTTAGTATTTTGTCTTCACTGTTTGACTGTTAACCTCTTCGTTATATTTTTTAGTAGTTGCTTTAGAGTTTATAATAAGCATTTTCAGTTTATCACAGACTCCTTTCAGATAATACAGGGTTTATAGTTGTGAGTGTACAAAATGCAGGCTTTATTCTCATATTATTATTTACTAATTGTGTTGTTTTCCATACAAGTAACTACAAGCCTATTTTTCTCCCACCCTGTGTATCCCTTCATATGTAATGTAAGAATTTTACAGTATTGTATTTGCTTTCCTTCTTCCTATCCTTTGTGTCATTGTCATACGTTTTATTTCTACATGTTATAAACCTCATAATACATGGCTGTTATTTTGTCTTTTTTTCCCCTGTTCCTTTCCTTCCGTATATTCTCTCCTCTCTCCTTCCCTCCCCTCAAAGATAAATAAATAAAATCTTAAAAAAAAAAAAAGATTTTATTTATTTATAGAGAAGGGAAAGAAGGGAGAAGGAGAGGGAGAGAAACATCAATGTGCAAGAGATACATTGATTGCATGCCCCCAGTCAGAGACCTGGCCCACAACCCAGGCATGTGCCCCGACCAAAACAGTGACCTTTGGGTACACAGGGTGGCACTCAATCCATTGAGCCACACTAGCCAGGGCTTATTATTAATTTTTTTATGGAGAGAGAGATCATTTTGTTGTTCCACTTATTTATGCATTCATTGGTTGCTTCTAGTATATCCCCTGACCAGAGACTGAACCTGCAAACTTGGCATATGAGAATGATGCTCTAACCAGGGCCCTGATGCGCCCAGGGCCTATTACTTTTGTTTTAATTTTGTTACTTTTGGTTTAAACAGTCAATTATATTTTTTAAATTAAAAAAGCAACTTTTTGCCCTGGCTGGTGTGGCTCACTGGATTGAGCAGCAGCCTGCAAGCCAAAGGGTCACAGGTTCGATTCCCAGATCAAGGCACATGCCTGGGTTGCGGGCCAGGTCCCCAGTAGGGGGTGCACGAGAGGCAACCACACATCAATGTTTCCTTCTTCCTTTCTCCCTCTTTTCCCTTCCATCTAAAATAAATAAATGAATGAATGAATAAATAAAGTTTTTTAAGCAACTTTTACTCACATATTTACCATTTCTGTTTTTCATCATTCTTTTGTATAAATCCAAGTTTCCATCTAGTATTGTTTTCTTTTAGCCTGAAAAACTTTAACATTTCCTCTACAGTGGGTATGCTGGTGACAAATGCTTTCCACTTTTGATTATCTGAAAATGCCTTAGCCTTCTCTGATCTTTCACTTTTAAAGATGTTTTTGAATTTTTTCTGATGAGAAACCAGTGACCATTTTTATTGTTTCTGTGTTTAATTCATTGTTTTTCTATGACTTGTTTCACAATTATTTTATCATTAGTTTTTGGATATTTATCAGGTGCCTTTGGATGATTTTCTTTGTATTTACCCAGCTTGGAGTTACTGATGTTGGAACTGTGAGTTTAGAGTTTTTAATCACATCGGAAAATATATGTACCATTTCTTCAAGTATTTTTTTCTATCTTTTCTCCTCTTCTAGGATGCCAATTACATATATGTTAAACTACTCGATATTGTTCAATGGATCCTTGATGGTCTTTTTTTTATTGTTTATATTTTAGCTCTTTTTTCAGTTTGGATAATTTCTATCACACTGCCTTCAAGTTCAGTGGTCTTTTCTGCAGTGTCTGTTCTGCTGTTAAACCCATCCAGTTAGTTTTTTTCTTTGTCATGTTGCATGTCTCAGCTTAAGAGGTTCCATTTGGTTCTTTTTTGTAGTGTTTATTTCTGTATTGAAATTATTTATTCCTTCAGTATATTAATTTTTTTGTTTAAACACATGTACTTACACATTTATAAAAGCTGTTTTAAAATACTTGTCTGTTAATGTCATCATCTCTGTCATTTCTGGGCCTGTTTCTTTTGACTGATTCTCCTCCTGATTATGGACTCTTATCACAGTGACTAGGCACTACTGCCATTCAGTGGCTGGTGGCCAGGGATGCTAAATGTCTGGTAATGAGTGAAGTGGTCCGGTCCAGCAATGAATTTTCTTACTGAAAATGCAGTAACATTCAAGTTAAGATGACAACCTAAAGAAACAACTTTATCCTGGTGCTTCTGTAGGGACATCGTCTCTCACCCCGCCCCCACCTTCTAGCTATTGCTACTCACAATTTAAAGTGCAGCATACACACTACTTCCAGAGAAAGCCTTCCATGATCTCTCTGGACTAGGTTAGGGTCCCCAGCAGGGTCTTCCATAGGTCAGCTTTTGCTTATCCCCACTTATCCTACCCCAATTACTCCTATGGCATTTACTACTTATTCTTTGGTTCCTGCTATACATAAGATGTTCAATAAATATTCATTGAATGGATGAATGGATGGATGGATGGATGCTGAATCTTTGTGGCTACCGAGACAGTGGTGGGCTGACATAGGTCAGATGACCACCGTGTCATCTCATCACTGGGGGTAGTGACTGTGCAGGCAGCGCTGCCAAAGAGGCCCACATAAAGCTCACTTGGTCATATTGAGGCAAGGTGCCTTGTGTTTGGGACAAAAGTACAAGGTGATAATCAGTCCCCGCTATACATTATTAGGACAGCTTCCTGCCTCAACCCACTTCAAGGATGGGGGTGTGTGCTGGCTTATGACTAATTGCAGGTGTTAGAGGGGCTCATGAAATAGGGAGGGTCCGCATAGAGGGAGGTGAAGTGCTGACACCCATCTGCCCTCTCCTGTTGGGTGCTGTTCCCTCTGAGGTACAGGGGATGAAATCTCAACTCTTATTGTCCCTTGAGCTTGAAATTCCAGTCAGAAGTTATGGCGGAAAAGGCACTAATGCCCCTGTATTACAAATGTGGGGAGCCCGTATTCTCTGGGGAGTGTTCGCCCTCCTGTCTTTGCCTCCAGTTTTGCTTAATATGCCAACCTCAGATGGCTTCACATACTGCTACTCCCTCGACCTCTCAGAGCGAGTAGCATTGAAGCTCGACCAGAAGTTCCCTTTCAGCCTTGTGAGGAGGATTTCGATGCTGAAGTACATCTCAGGCTCTTCAGCTGAAAGAAGGGCAGCCCAGAGCCAGAAGTAAGTTACAGAACTCTTAAATCATTCTTAAAGCAATTCCAGGGCCTGTAGAAGGTGTGACTGGTTCAGGATCATGGGGGGGAAAAGTATAGGATGTGGGTGGCCATGGGCCCAGGAGATCTGTGCACAGATGTCTTTGAGCACTCTGGATTCTGCCCAACTGCATCTGAAGTCAGGAGCAAGCAGGAAGGAGAAAGGGAAGCATTAGAAGCACTTGTGCGTAAAACACTTTGAGGGACTTGTGGCAGACTCGGAGGGAGTGGCCCTACCTGGTGTCGTTACCAACGCTTAGCACTGACGAGCACTCTGCAGGTTGCACTGAGCTCCAGCAGGACACACTGGTTAGAAGCACACACAGTTCACACGGCTGACTCAGTGGCTTAGGAGGTGGCACAGCCCAAGACCTGAAAGGTAGGGTTTTCTCGGCCACTCAGCAAGAAAAGGTGATATTTACTGTTTTCTAATCCAGGCTCAGTAACTCTCAGTGAAAAGTGTTAGGCAAGCCTGCAGAGCTCTGGGAGCCTCGTTCCTTCCTTTTAGAGAAGACGCCCAAAGAGGACAAGAGCCTTTCTGCATGTAACACAGGCCAGAGAACTCAGTCTAGAGCTAGGGTCTCCTGCTTCCAGGTCTCCCTCACTCCCTTTCCAGTGTGCCACACTGCCAGCCTCTCGTGGTCTCTGTCCACGCCGAGATTTCACACCGGGAGAGGTTTTCTTTCCTTCAACAGTCCCTCTGAAAGGAATGCTGGCTCACTGTGCAGGCCAGATGGCAGTAGCCCTTTTCTGCCCCTAATCCACGTGTGGAGTAAATTTTGCCCTCCATGCCTGCCTGGAAACAGGGTTTGGATTAAGTTGGAAGCTGCTTTTATTTCAGGAGGTGGAGATTTTCAGCCTTCACCAGCTCCAGCCCTTTTGACCATTTTTTACAAAAACAAAAATGTGTTTTATAGCCCCAGCTGGTGTGGCTCAGTAGATTGAGCACCTGTCTGAACCAAAGGGTTGTTGGTTGACATGCTTGGGTTGCAGGCCATGTCCCCAGTACGGGGCGCAGGAGAGGCAACTACACATTGATGTTTCTCCTTTCCCCTCTAAAAATAAATATAAAATATTTTTAAAAGATGTTTTATAATTATTTTTTAATCCTCATCCAAGAACAATTTTTTATTACTTTTAGAAAGAGAGGAAGGGGGAGAGAGAGAGAAACATCTGTTGGTTGCCTCCTGTATGTGCCCCAACTGGGGATCGAACCCGCAGCCTTTCGACCTATGGGATGATGCTCCGATCAACTGAGCCACACAGTCCAGGGTCTGTTGACCCTTTTTAAAGGCACGTTTTTGGCAGGGTGGGTAACTGCAAAAAAACAGAAATGGAGATTCACCCACTTCGCTTCAGGCAAGTAATTCCTGGGATCAAATGTGTGGGAGATGGTTTAAATATAGAGTGGCTTTTTGACTTTTAATCGTTCTCATGAGAGGACTTAAGGGGTCCTCGAGTAAGAGAGTTCCTTCTAAACAGCTGGTAGTGATCACGGTCACCCAGTCTTAACACCCCCGGGTGTTAGGTTACCCTGAGCTCACTCTCCAAGGCAGCCCGTGTTGGAGTTCTTCCACGCTGAATTGCAGTCACCTCTCTGAAACTGTGACTCATTGGTGCCAGGTGTGATCCCGCTTTACCATGACATGCAGATGTGGGTGGGGCGACATGGCAACTTTCAGTTCCTCCCATGTTCCTCATGGTGTTTGGCCCCTCATTGGCCTGGCCTGCCGCTGGCACCCAGGACAGAATGGTGTCAGATGGCCTGACAGTGGCATGTGGGCAACATTGTAGCACGTGTATTTGGGTGGCTTGGCCTCCCTGGAGGCTCTTGTTGAGTTTCTGGTAGGCTGAAATCTCTACATTTCAAAATATCCTAGGAGAAGCGCTGTTAAGTGTCCCATGTCTGTACTTTACTCATACATTCGGTTTGTAAAGTCAGGCTTTTAATTCAAATGCACACAGGTTCAGTCCAGTCGCCTAACAGATCTCAGCGGTGTTGGCATTCGTTCTCCACATTTGGAATTTTGCATGAAAGTTCAGAGGGTAAAACCCTCAGGCTGTGTCTCCATTCACGGTCCTACCCACTCATGTCTATGGCAGGGGTCTTTAACCTCAGCACAGACCTTTCCCTACCACCACCACTTCAGTCTCTGCCAGCTGGGACTTGGTGCTACAGGGGTTTCCTACCTGAAATCACAGGTAGGAAACAGCCAAGGCCCAGGCCCAAGCTCAGTGTTACCCCATCAGAGCCGTACCGCCCTCCTTCCCACAGGCATGGATCCACTCTTTTTGGGTAGAAGCACTCAGCCAGCCCCTGACCACTGTGATCTGATCCCATTCCTGCATCTGGGTTGCAAGCTGCCATGACTAGGTTACACTCAGGTGGTCTCAGTCACAAACCCAATATCCCTTCCTCCTGCTAGCTTGCTGCAGGACCGTGAATGGACCCTTTGCTCTCTGGACATCCGCTTTCTGTTTGGTTGAGTGTAACCTTTCTCTCTGCTTGGTACTTAGAGCAAATGTCCACAGCATGTTGTAATAGTAAGCAGTGCAGTGACTCCAGCCTTTTCTCATGTGGAATGACAGCTGGAGGTGCTCTGTGCCTTGGCTTTTCTAGCTGAGTGACCAGTTTCTCTCTTTTTCCATTCCAGGCTGAACCCTGTGCCCGGCTCTTACCCCACACAGAGCAGCCACCCTCACCTGTCTCCAAGCCACCCTGTTGCCCAGATGCAGCATGCCAGTGGCCAGAAGCTAGCCTCCTGGCCAGCCTGTGCTCCCAGTGCTGGGCACATGCCCAGCCTGCCTCCCTACCAGCCTGCCTCTGGCCTGTGTTATGTGCAGAACCATTTTGGCACGACCCCTAACTCCTCCGGAGTCTGCCCGGGTTCCACAGGGGCCTCTTTAGGGGTCCAGCCCCCCACCCCTCTCAACTGCCCTGGAACTGTGTGTTCTGGGGCCCTGCCCACGCCAGTGACTGCAGCCTCCAAGGAGGGCTCAAGGGCCCTGATCCCCTGATGGGAAACTTCTAGGGAGATTATTGTACATCTCAGCCTTCTGAAGAAGGTCCTCTCTGAGCTAAGGTTTCTTGACAAAAAAATTATTTATTGAACACCTCTATGTGCCAGGCTCTATGTTAAGTACTTTGATGTATGTCTTTATTTCATCCTCATGACAACTTTGTGAAGTACAGTTTATTGTCCCCAGTTTATACCTGCATTAGCAAGGCTGTGATTACATGAAGTCACCTAGCTCTGTGTGGCACAGCTGCACTTCTTGGCTCCAGGCCCAGGCTCCTCCCACCTGCTGTCCTGCCACCCAAAGAATACCTGGTTGTCAGTGGCTGTCAATAACGAGTTCCAACTCTGCATTTTCTTCCTGTCACTGTATAGTGCTCCTGATTGTATGGTGTCTGTGTGTGTCTGCCCTTCTGGAGCTCCAAGGTGGTATGCTCAGCAGCCCCCAGGCCTGGGTAGTGTTTCTCCCCTGCCGTGACTGCCCACTCCCCACCCCTTGAGACTTCTGCCCTGGAGTGGTGAGGAGGACCAGTGTGAACTGCAGCAGCATGCTGGTGGTCCCATAATGTTCATTACCTTTGTATGAAGAAACAACCTGTAACCCGCTGTTGTCTGTGGTCTCTTTGTGGTCTGGCTGGGGAAGGTAGAGCAGGATTTGGACAGGGGTGATGTAGGGCCTGACTGTGAAGAGAGAGAGCAGGTGTAAAGTCAGGCAAATGCCCTCCACCCAGCGGGCATCTGACACGAGGAATGAGTTGAAAAGGTGCTGGGAGAGTTGAAAGGGCAAACGGGAAGGTTTGGCAACCAGAATCGGAAAAGCTGGAAGCCACTACTGCGTATAGGGAGGAGGGCGTGCACCAGAGCTCCAAGTGGAATCGGCACAAGAAGGGCTGCCTGGCAAGACATGCCACAGAGGGAGCGCAGACCCTGGCGGTGATGGCATCTGAAGCAAGAGCAGGGGGCGGGGGCGGGGGAAGAACCCTAGTTCCTCTGCCTGTCACCTAGCATTAGGGTCTACTGTGGGCCAAATTAACCAGGAACATTTTCGCAAGTGAGCCCGGGGAATGTAGTTTGGGGTTGGGGGAGGGGGGCTCCTCTGAGGCAGGGCAGGGCAGGAATGTGAGTCAACAGGCACTTAATCAGCCTGAGCAGAGCTCCCTCAGCTCCAACCCTCAGCTGGAGCTCCTTGCAGTGGCATCCCACTGAGAAAACGTGCCCAGTTGAGGGTGTTTTCATGGGTATTGAAACATGACCTTTGCTAATTCCGGGAGCCAGCAGGTTTACTCTGGGCTGGCTCTTCAACAGGTATTGGGTATTAGAGGTGGATAAGACACGTACAGATCCACCCAGCCCAGTCAAGGGCAGGCAGTGACAGGCACCTGGGTGGCCCGCACTAGACAAGAGGGTGGAGGATGAATTGAGAGGGTGATGCTGCAGCTGGATTGTGAAATAGGATAGCCAGCCGAGGAGTGAGGTGCCCAGACTACAGCTGGGGTCTGCCTGCAGTCACAGGTCTAGCAGGGCCTGGCCTGGAGCCTCTGTCTGCAGCTACACCTGGCACCTTTCCCATAGTGTCACTCAATGAACACAGGCTGCTGTATGTCTATTAGGCATTCTCCCTCCGCTCCAGTCTCAGGCCTGTACCCAGAAGAAGATGAGAGGGTCACCTGCTCCCAGTGTGGCCAGGTGTCATCCCTTGTGCCTGACCTTCGTGGACTGTGCTCTGGCACTGTGGAAGCCAAGGGCCTTGGAGGAGGTCTGGCTCGGGAGCCCTCTCTCAAGTCCCCAAATAGCAGACCTGTGAGGGTCCTCAGAGGTTGTTCAGTCCAACCATCTCCTCCACTGCTGGTTTTGCTAATGGGGTTCCAGGAAGGCAGGATTGGGGCTGGTGGAGCAGTCAGCAGCAGCCCCTGACGTGGGCCCTACTGCATCTGCTGCTCTGAGACTGGTTCTCAGTGTGGACGGAAAGGGGCCACAAACTAAACCTGACCAGCTCAGGGGAGGCCTACGTGGTATCCTTATCAACTCAGAGACCTAAAGTAACCACAACTGAAATGAAAACTTATTAACCAAAAGCAGTTTATGGCAAGTAGTCATGTCCTAGGCTAGAATCTACCCTGACCAAAGTCAATCTTTACCTTAATTAAGCCTATTGTCCTTTTGCATGTGTGATAACAAACCTTTGGCATGTCAGAGTAATTTCTTTTTGCTGGACCCCCCTGAAAACACAGACACCACACCAGGGCACCAAAGTGGAGACCACAGATCCCCTCATTGTTATTTAGCTGTTGAGTGTTAATTATCCTGTACCCACCTCTGTACAAGAAGTGTCTATCATTCACTTTTTATCCAATCCCAGAAGTTTCCCTGCTTTGCTTTCTCCAGTCTCCCTAATCTGTCACTAATGGATTTCACATAACCCACTTAATGTCTTCTTTTTTTCCAGTTAAGTATATTTTATTGATTAGGTTATTACAGTTATCTCGATTTTTCTCCCTTTTTCCTCTCCCCAGTAGCCCCTCTTCCACCCAGCAATCTGCCCCACCTCCTAGTTCATGTCCACGGGTTGTACATATAAGTTCTTTGGCTTCTCAGCTCCTATACTATTTAAGAGTAGTATAGATATCTCCATGTCTATTTTGTACCTACCAGTTATGCTTTTTAATCCTTACACCTTTTCCCCCATTCTCCCCAACCCCCTCCCCACTGATAACCCTCCAAATGATCTCCATACCTGTGATTCTGTTCCTGTTCTGGTTGTTTTGCTTAGTTTTTTCTGTCTTGTTTGTTTTTTATTCAGTTGTTGATAGTTGTGAATTTGTTGCCTTTTTAATGTTCATAGTTTAATATTCTTTTTCTTAAATAAGTCCTTTTAACATTTGATGTAATAATAGCTTGGTGATAATGAACTCCTTTTGTTTTACCTTGTCTGGGAAGCACTTTATCTGTCCTTCCATTCTAAATGATAGCTTTGCTGGATAGAGTCATCTCAGTTGTAGGTAGTTGCTTTTCATCACTTTGAATACTTCTTGCTAGTCTCATCTTGTCTGCAAAGTTTCTTTTGAGAAATCAGCTGATAATCTTATGGGAACTCTTTTGTAGGTAACTTTCTGCTTGTCTCTTGCTGCTTTTAAGAGTTTCTCTTTATTTTTAACCTTTGGTATTTTCATTATGATGTGTCTTGGTGTGGTCCTCTTAGAGTCCAACTTGTTTGGGACTCCGTGTTTCCTGGACTTGTGTGTCTATTTCCTTCACTAAATTAGGGAAGTTTTCTTTCATTATTTTTTCAGATAAATTTTCAATTTCTTGCTCTTCCTTTTCTCCTTCTGGCACTCCTATGATTCAGATGTTGGCACTTTTGGAAATGTCTGAGAGTCTTATACTATTCTCACTTTTTTGAATTCTTGTTTCTTCTTTCTGTTCTGGTTGAATATTTATTTCTTCCTTATGTGCCAAATCATTGATTTGAATCCTGGCTTCCATCCCTTCACTGATGTGTCCCTGTGGATTTTTTAAATTTCACTTAGTGTAACCTTCATTTCTTCATGTTGTTGCCATACTCAGTGAGTTCTCTGACCATCCTGATCACCAGTGTTTTGAACTCCACATCTGATAGGTTGGCTATCTCTGTTTTGTTTAGTTGTTTTCTGGCATTTTGTTCTGTTCTTTCATTTGGGCCATATTTATTTGTCTCTTCAATATGGCAGCCTCCTTGTGTTTGTTTCTGTGTATTATGTGGAGTTGCTTTGGCTCCTTGTAAAAGGCACCTGTAAATTGTATGGGGTGGGGCAATCCACTTCACTGCTTTGTGGCTCTGTGCGGGGGGAGGGCTCCGAGAGGGGACTATGCCACTCACTGCCTGGCTTCTGGAGGTTTGCTTGGCATTCGCTCCATTTCCATTCACTTTACCCTCTTCCTATATGCAACTGGCATCCTTCCAGCTGTTGCCCTGGTGTTGAATCCTAAAGTGGGTGGGTTTGCATATGTTTTAAGACAGTATAGGCCCTTTATACGAAGTTTCCTGAAAATCTGTCAGTTTCTTCTGCCACCCCAATTCCCACTGGTGTTTATAGCCAGAAGTTATGGGGATTTATCTTCCCCACACTGGAACCCTGGACTGTGCGGTCTGGCCTGAGGCTGAGATCCCTTGCTCCCAAGATATCACTCCCAATGTTTATTCACCACATGAGAATATAGGACCACCTGTGCCTGTTCCGCTGCCACCGCCACCTCTCTGTGCCACACGGCGTCTCCTCACTTCTCTGCCCCATCTCTGTGTCTCCACCTCTCCTATGCACGTGGGTGATTGTGGCTTCTTTAAAGCTTCAGTTGTTGCACTTCCATACAATTTGATTTTCTGACAGTTCTGGGTTTTGTTTGCTTTGCAGTTTAGTGTAATTCTTTTTTTTTTAAGATTTTATTTATTTTTAGAGAGGAGAAGGGATGGGGAGGGGGAGAAACATCAATGTGTGGTTGCCTCTTGAATGCCCTCTACTGGGCACTTGGCCCATAACTCAGGCATGTGCCCTGACTGGGAGGAGAATCCATGACTTTTTAGTTTGCAGTCCTGTGCTCAATCCACAGGATTGAGTTGTGGATTTGAATCCTAGCTTAGTGTAAGATTTACATGTGTTCCTGTAAATCTACAGGGACACATCAGTAAAGGGATAGAAGCTAGGATTCAAATCCACAGCTCAATCCTGTGCTCACTGAGCCACACCAGCCAGGGCTAGTTGTAATTCTTTTTGTAGTTGTGTGAGGAGGTGAAGCTAGACTACCTATGCCTCCGTCATGACCAGATGAAGACTCCGAGAAGTCTTCGTCTCACCTCTTCTCTTTTGGTTTTAATGAATAAAGCAGGGTGCAGAACTGCCTTTCTTAGGAGCATTTTCTCAATCTGTAGAGGTTTTGCTTCCCAGCAATTGTCTGTTTAACTCAAACTCACAAAAAATTCTTACAGGTTTGGACATTTCTTACGTTCACATTAGTCTTTTTGTTCCCCTGGACTTCCATTGGTCTGGCCTCAGAAAACAGCAAGAAGCCTGGACCAAGGTCACAGAGGGCCATTTCTCCCCCCCCCCCATATACATTTTAGAGGACCTAGAGGTGATCCAAAGTCCCTCCTCCTTTTGCCTATTAAGTCATCCACTAGTGTGTCCCATGTCTGAAAACATCAAGTGTCTACCAATCCTCAGGCTGTGGCTAGAGACTGAAATGAAGGAACAAATCCACCCAGACTGGTGAGGGCAGAGAACTCCCAACATGAGTCTGCCACTCAGTATTTGTCGAATGAATCAATGAGCAGGTGATCCCTGCCTTTGGCGATTTCAGACTGGGAGCTAAGGGGAAGGAATGGACAAAAGGAGAATTGTAACTCAACAACACTTTTCAGGTGCTCAGAAGCCCCCCAGACCAGCCTGGAGAGCTGGTGTGCAGGGGATCAGTCAGATACTGAGCACATACCCTTCCATGGAGAGAGAATAGGCTTCGGGGAGAGGGAAGCAGGACAGCACCAACCATGTCCTCTGGCTGTTGTTAGGAGAATGAAGAATACAAGGAAAAGCCATTGTTCTCTGCACTCCAAAAACCTCTCTGTTATCCCCAGG